CTATAGCATTAATCGTAAATTTGTATGTATTGCAACGTTTCACACGTTAATATTGTCACCCAATGTGAAAGATTTGAATCAAGTAGTGTTTCATTAAAGTTTTCATTACACTTTTCTTTATCAAATGTAAACAAAACAAACCTTGGTTCCATTAAGTGCAGTAGCCATTTAGAAACTGGTTAATCAATCCATTGGAAGATTATACGGTAACTTATTACGGTGCTCCTCTCTCCGGGGCGTGTATACCAGTTTATAAAGAGTTGGTATATGTGTAAATATTCTTAAATTACCCGAAAAATCCTCAGGTAAACTTACAGAAGCGTGGATTGGTAACACAATAGTCTTATCACACGACTGCTCAACAAATCCAATTGACGGTCCACATTAACATAAGCACTTTTAATCAAATATGTTTTAGTTATCACTAATTAATTTAACGACTACTTCTCCGCCATTTTTTTAGGTGAATACACCCAGGTTCTTCTGAGTGGAACTTTACACAGCTTTTTTCCCCTGAATTTCAATAGTCCTACCGTATCGACCCAAATTCCTTATGAATGAATGACAGGCATTTAAACGAAACAAGTCCAAAACACGTTAAAACTGACACAATGAGAAACCAGCAGATTCCGAGGTTCGATCGAACAGGTAGAAGTGATTGGAACGAGGGAAAGGGAAAGACCGATAACGGGAATAAGGAGACAGATTTGACCTGGCGTGGACAGGGAAAGGAAGTTTATGTTTTCTGACGACCGGGGCATTAAGGATACATTGTATACACTGATAGCACAAGGTGTCAAAAACAGATAGGCGGATCTAATGTCGATTGGAGAATACAAACTTGTAGTTAATTTTAATGTACATGTATATATGGGGATTGTATATAGAATACGTTGAAAATGAAGCTTTTTTCAAATTGAATGACCCAAGATATACTAAGTAGAGTTATTGTCAACTAAAATATTTGTACTGACAATCTATTAAGTAAAAACAGTTTTATTGTATTAAATCTTTATCGAATAATTTTGTTAGTTTGTTCATTCTTTCTAAAATCATTGCATTGGTCTATACATTTTATGGACAAACGTTGTAAATTGTTATATTGTATAATTTCATATTAAATTTTAATAAAAATAAATTAGACACCAATGAAAATTCATTTTTTGTGTTCTAAGTTATCCGACCCATAATAGCCTCAGATTCAATGAATCTGAATGCATAACAGATATATAATGGCTGAATACTCAGTATATGTAGACTTGATCTACATTCATTAATTGATTACTGCTCAGATAATTACCTTTTTTGAAAATTTCTCCTGGTGAACCCTTTTCTATAATAAACTCCTTTGAATTAGTTTCAGAGTATTTTATACAGGATGGATATTTAAGTTTAGAAAATTGTATGCCCTTATATGGGTCGGATATCTTAATTGATTGTAATCATTTTTATTTTGGTAGTTCAGAATATATTTTCTAATGATGCCTTCGGGGAACCTAAACACCTTTAACATTTATTTTTTATTTACAATTATTATTGAATTACAGCAATGAATATTATTTACATTATTATCGGCCGCAGCAGCGGCCGATCTATTTGTGGTTGTGTTAGAAAGTGCACATGGGGAAATGAGACGTTATTTTTTATTACTTCACTTAAAATATTTTTTAAATGAAAACAAGTCAAAACATGAAGAAAAAAAATATCTTAAAAATTTGCTTTAAACTTAGCATTAATTGTTGTTGTTATGTTTCAATTTCATTATCATTTCTCATCAGATAATTCATAATTTATTGTTATATAAAAAATGTTTACAATATTCAATTCATTTATTGACAACACCATCATACATTGGCATATAGTCATGAATACAACAATTAACATACATAAAATAAAATATCAAAGAAAGCATATCAGGTTTGTTGAAGGTTTTCTTTCCTAATATCAAAGCACTTTTTCAAAAAGTTACAAACTCTCCTAGCAGTTCTAATACTTGTAGGATTGATAATGTCAATAATAGGGTTTTCCTTCATGTAACATTGTGCATTGAATATATCGTAATATTGTAATCTACATTGATCATAACTAGGACAATAAAGTACAAAATGGTTTTCATTTTCAATAAAAAATTTACAAAAATGACATACACGTTTTTCTCTAGGAATAGGTGGCCTTGAGTATCTCCCCATTTCAATATGTAGAGTATGAGCACTAATTCTTAGTTTTGTTAGGATTGTCCTTTCAGATTTCTTCAATGGTAATTCTAGATAGTCTTGTAATTTATATTCATTTAAATCAATTATATTACTATAAAAAGTTAATTTCCCAGAATTTGATTTAGAAATGTTCTTTAATTGTTCACTGATCTTGATTCTATAATGTTCATCTAATTTATATTTAAAAGTTTTATGTGATATGTCCAATGAGGGTAAAGACAATTTCTGTTGTAGAGTATAAAGCTTTCTTTGCCAAGATATTCTAGATCCCAGTGTTTTATCTTCCTTAAATGCAGACACCACTAACTGGTCATTATAATCATTTTCTCTCTCTAAGTTTTTCAGTCTTAAATAAAATTTATACATATTTTCATAACACAAATAAAATAGTGGGAACTGTCCCAACTCATATAGAACAGCAATATTAGATGATTTTCTATGAACACCTAAAATGTCTTTAAAAATCTGGTGTTGTATTTTTTCAAATGGAAAGTGATCTGAGGATAATAAATCACATTTGTAGTCTGCTATCCAGATTTCAGAACCATAAGTTAAGATTGGAGTAATCATAGATCTATAAAGTTTAAGCATTGTCTTTACAGAAAAATTTGTATTAGCTGGAAAATTGGTTTTTATAGCATAATAAGCTTTTCTAGCTCTTTCTGACAGTTGTTCTGCTGAGAATTTCATTTTTCCATCAGATTTAAACACCAGTCCTAAATATTTATACTGATTTGTTATTTCTATACGGCTATGATTATAGTAAAACCAATACTCATTTTCACAATTTGTACTTTGAGAAAAAATCATAATATTTGTTTTTTCCATGTTCACACACAATTTCCAATCATGACAATATTTACCTAAAATATCTATACATTTCTGTAAACCACTAGGTGTCTCAGATACAAGAATAAGATCATCAGCAAAAAACATGTTGTTAATAGGCATTAACTCTACAATAGATACTCCCCAGCTTGGGAGTGTGTAAGATATGAAAGGAAATCGTCATGATTTTCCGGATAATAATGACGTGGTAAAAGTGCACGGTGAATAAAAATTGAAAAGTTTTTCAACTAGTAATTTTTTTTTGAATATGCTCTGTAGCTGCAAATGACACAAAGATATTTTTTGTACATTTTGCACCGCGGCTTACAGCATATAGCCTACTCGCAGAAACCATGGGCATTATCATGATTATCGCGTGACCAAAATCCAGGGTATCAACTCATGGTCCTACATCTTCATTTTGATGACAATAAATTCTTATCATTTATCGTTGACTTTTTTTTTTAATCGACGAATTAACATGAGCAAGTTCGGTAAAATGTCTATTTATTTAATTTTTAAAATATTTAATTTGCTTTGAAGACGGCCTGAAATAAAATGATTCAACTATTTCACCTTTGAATATCTTGATAAGTTTTCCTTGCATGGACGCTTTTAGAATTGTGAAAGAATTTCTTTTAATGCTAAACTTTGTTTGCGGCCGATTTGATGCTTTGCATCAATTTTACTTGTCTTATATTTCAAATGCATTTGATAAAGTCAAATCCATGCTCTTGTCAGGGTATAAATAGTAAATTGTCAATAGTGGGTAGGAGTGGGGTTCTGTTGATAAAATCTTTGACTCTGGGGTTGAGGAAATCATCCCCCACTACCACGGACAGACTCACACACTCTGTCTAAAGGTATCTCATTTGTGAGACATGCGTGTTCTTCTGTTGGGTAAGCACCGCACAAAGCGAATGTGAAAGACTACATATATATTAGTGTGAACTTCGTTTCAAGCTAAGTGAAAGAATGACTAAAACTTTGATCTAAAAAATTGTACATGTATGTCGAAAATAATAAAGTAAAATTTAAAAAAGACATTTCATTACTGTACTGAACTTGTTTTTGACCTTGGTTTGAAATAAGTATGTACTTACATGTATCATTATTAATATCAATAAATTGAAGAATAATATTGAAGTGAGTACATTTAAAACGCACCTATTGTACATGTAATCCTTATAAACGTTATAGTTTGAAAACATATTTGTTTTGTTTGATATTGTTTGATGTAAACCAAAGAAACAAATAAAAATGTTTTTTTTTTCTCGGTTTTTATTATTTTATTTTTATATTTTGAACTATAAATATGATCCAAGATGAATGAATAACTAAGTAACACAAAAGTAAGATTCTAAAGAAAATATAGGAATTTTGATTCTTTACTATTTTGTTTAACAATAAATAGCATGGACCTCTCCTTTATTCCACCAACCCCTATCCATTCTAATTCCCTCAAATTAAATACATTTGTCAGAGGAAGGTTCGATAACTCCTGTAGAATCTGATAAATTAAATATAAGATGTAAATACATTCAGGTCATCAGGTTATTTTCATGCACCATATACATAAACTAAAATATTAAAAATTCTTTATATGTTTGATTTATCAGCAAGCTCCATTTATCAAAAGACTATCTTTAAACTTTAAATTTTACCCCTTTTCAAAAATTTACATATATATGTACTATAACATGTATAAGGTGTATTAAAAAATATATCAAACATTGTTTTCATCAACAAAAAATGCAAATGTAATTTTGAAAATCATGCAAAAAATTTAATTTACGTACAACCTGTAGTTTTCTGGATAACACAAAACTCCTGTTATAACTTGCATTCACATCTGTACACCGCTTATCTTGGGTAAGTCAACAATATGGGGGACATAAACAGAATATATTACACGGTATCAGAGGGTACAAGGTTCCTATGGTGTATAAGTTTTATAGTATCCCCATTCACAATCACGTGCGCCAATTATACGTACCAGAATAACGATTTTTTCAACTGTATACACGAGATTTCTTCCTTATGATATCTATATAGGTTTAACATTCGCCGGCGAAATGAAATCTGCTGATTGAGGTGTGAACTTCCTGGCTACTTCTCACCTGTGTACGGGAAACTGTAATGTGTTTCACAACACCAAAGAATCTCAGGTAAATATTGTGTTGGAGAGTCTGAGCATATAAAGAGAATTGTATGTGTAACCCGAAAAAGGAACTTTGTACATTTCGTTTTAATATAATTTCAGCGTGAAATGTTTGCTCAAGGGTAAGTATGTATAAAAAGGCGTGTCAACATAAACTCTATACGATATTATACCTGTGTATGTTGATAAGATGTCATTTATTCAATTATGTCCTTACTGCCTTCGACGTTTTTTTCACAAATGCATATTCCAACCCCATACAATTCATGTATTTTGAAAAAAAAAACACTTTTTTGTTCGTTTATAAAAACAGTTGATGACAGCCGAAGTAATGTCTCCATCAACAACAGTCTTATCGACAAACGAAACAGCAACAACAACAACAGGAACAACAATAACAACAACAACAACAACAACAACACCAAATACCCCGGCACATCACGGGCTTCCAGAGGAAGACGTCGAAATCATCATCATCGTCATTTGTATCGTGGCTGCCATTGCTCTCTCTGTTCTTATTTATACACTATACAAGAAATTAAGGTAAAAACTCAGCTGTTTTCGATTTCAACTTCATTACTCATGTAAACAAGTGTAAACAAACTAAAGGGGGGGGGGGTAATAAGTTCTTTGTTTTTCAAATGTAATTTTTGATTTTCCACAGATACTCAAAATCGTGTGTGAGGTTGAAGAATTTAACTAGACGAAGATCCTCCACAACTGGAAGTCATCATCCACTGGAGCCTGATGAAGTGGAAGATCTCCCGCCCCCGAGAACTGAACGAGAGTTGTTCTCTATTGGTGACAATGACGACATTGATACACGATTAGGTGGAGCAGCGCCAGACGATGGATATTTCTTTGATGAAATTTATGAGAAATCAGCATTTGTTGACGAAGTCACGAACTCTTCATTAAAAGAACTTAGAATTCCAACAGAAAATGACAATGTACCAGATTTATTATTTAGGTCACCTCGGTAATGATCGGCATAATTTTTCTTTTTTTTTTTTTTTAAATTAACCCATATAATACAATGCATCTTTCACAAAACTGCTCATTAATTAATTTTGCTGTATCATTTGGATTCAGACTAAACCCATTTTTGTTATGCATGTATTGAAGTTTTTAATTGGACTGAGCAGCAGGCACACATAGCTGCAAAAAGAAGTGTTTAAACTTTCAACTCTTTTTTACTATCATGGATTTGTCATCAGCGCACTTAAAACAAGTTGCATATAGATTATAGATAGGCCTGGCCGCCCAATCTTAACCATGGGTCTGTGGGCTGTGAATTTTATACATTTAGTAGAGGACTGTTTATTGCATTCGTAGAGAAACATTGCCTTTTATCCATGAAAAAAGAAAAACTTTTAAAGATGAATTTATTTTTTATATTACCAACTAAATCCAGTCATGAACCGTGGTTCAAGATGTCAAAGATTCCAGAATTTCATAATTCTAGTAAAACGTTGAGTACCTTATAATCCAAGCAGCTATCTGTTTGCAAAAAAGAGTTTTTGAAGATGATTTTAATACTAGTATAACCAAGTAAGTCCTTCTCTTGTAACTGAATGTATGAGACCAAGCTTGAATGTTACAATTTTGGCAAGGGTATCATTATAAACTGTATTCATCAAACATTTTCCTTCAAAACATCTTCATAAGTGAGAAAGTTTTTCAAAGATGCACTGTACGAGTCGTACATGTATGTCGAATAGATGACCAACTTAGACCTCACTCAGGAGACTGTTCAATAGACTCAGAGATATGAACTTCTCAAATTTTGCAGAAGGCACTATTTATTAACATCATGAGCCTGTTTAAAATATTCACGAGTACAGAACAATGTATTTTCAATACTATTACAATGTATTTTCAATACTATTACATGTATATGAAAAGGACCAAAACCATGGGTCAAAAGGTAATGGATTTCCCAATTATGGTAAATAATATTCAGAATTATCCAGATTATTCCTTTCTCGTGAATTGTTCCGGTAACCTTTCTCTATATTCAAGTCCAGCGTTTGCTTGTTCTGGCACCTTCATCGTAATCAGGTTCTGGATCTTCTTTATGGTATCTCATTCCAAACTGATCAGCTCGGAGATAGCCTTGCTCATCTTCATCTCGTTGTCTCGGGAATCGTGAGTACCTATCTGATCTGAAAGACCCCTTGTCCACACAGGGTATCCATTTGCCTTCTTCTTTTGAGAACCCCTCGGATGGTATCGCCACCGATATTGGTTGGTCGATTATTTTTGACTGATCCTCATAATCGTGTGGAATTTCGTCGTAAACACTCTCCCTGTCTTCTGAAAGAGTCGTGTACGTACTGAGCTGAGATTCTGAAAGGGCACTGGCACTTATCTCACTCGGGGTGATATAGGCTTGTCCAGTGTTTAACTGTTGCTTGTTTGAATTTTCTTCGTTGTTTCGTCTGAAAACATAAATGTCTATATTATATATTTATATAAAAGTGTGGACAACGAATTACAATGTATGGATTATGGAAATTAAATACTCTCTTCAATCGATATAAGAAAGAAGATGAAGAAGTGTTTAAAGTCATCATGAAAAGTGTAGAAATGTTGTCATAATAATTTGTCATCAATGGATTTAAAACAAGTTGTCTATAGATAGGCCCGGCCGCCCGATCTTAACCATAGGCTTGTGGGCTATGAATTTTATACTTTTAATAGAGGATGGTTTATTGTAATTGTGGATAAATATTGCCTTTTATTATATACACTCAATTTTACTGTAGAATTAACGGAATCACGTGACGTCGTGATCCAAATTATCAGATCATTTCTGAATCCATATCACCACTCTCTGAAACTGATGACGTAGTACGCAAAAACATGACGTTATTTTTCTTGCGCGTTAAAAAGTCCATTGTTATTATGCTTTGTTTATGGATAAATATTATATAATTGATCTCTAAAGTTTTATTTTACTATATTTAGCTAGTTATAAGGGGGTATATAATAAATTTATCATTATAACAGTAACTTGATCCGAAGAGCCGTATCACGTCTCTTGACAGGCGCGGATCATCAGATCAAACTCGGCGCTTCGCGTCTCTTTCCATCTGATGATCCGCGCCTGTCAACTCGTCGTGATACGATCCTTCGGATCAAGTTACTGTTATAATAATATTTGTTATACCCTTATAAATATCCTTCTATATATTTATTACTAATAAAAAGTCCAACAATAGAAATGTTTATTACGTCGGTCTAACAATTTCACTATTGACCGGTCTTACATAAGAATTGTTAGAGACGTCACTTGTCTGTTACGTCACAATTAATAATCATCGTTCAATATCGGCGACGCGAAAATAGCCGAAGTTAAGAGCTATTAAGAGTTGTTGCTAACAGCAAGGTAAGGTAGAAGGGAAGAGTATGTTTTGTGATAAATAATTTTTGTGATATAATAGATTTATAATTGATTTTGTTCTTTCTCAGCTTGATGTTTTATATTTAGTGAAGAAGCCATAATTTTCCATATAAAATAATTGATAGTATAGCGTGTATTGATAAAATTGATCAATCTTAAGTGAGCAGTGAAGGGTATAACAAAACTATATCGGGCAACATTTGAATTGTTGGATGAAGATAAAATGTTGCCCTTGGCCTGCGGCCTCGGGCAACATTTTCACCTTCAGGTCCAACAAATCATATGTTGCCCTCATACCCAGTCAATAACTGTATAATATTTATCAATGGAAAGAGAAAAACATTCATAGATGAAATAACTCTCTTTGATCGATATAAGAAAGAAGATGAAGAAAGCTTTACTTCAATATGTTCTTTGGGAAAAGATTCAGTGTGTTTGCATAAATTCTTCTTGTGAGGTGACTCCAATATCGGGGAATTAAAATTATTTGGACATTATATAAACGCTATGTTAAAAAGCCAATGAACAATTGATAAATTTGTATGATATTTGAGAGTTGTGTGCGTCATTAGCAACACACATACAGTGAAACCTGTCTTATCCGACATGCTGCAGGGGAAAAAGAAATCAATGTCGGATTGGACAGTGTGTCGGATTACCGTGTGTTGGATATTTCTGAGCGTTAATTATTGTTACTACTAGATGACTTCAATATGAGTATGTCATGTTCCTATTGTTTTGGATGACCATTTTTGCGTACATTTGAAAGGAGGTTGCTTTCAAAATTATTCTTAAATCTTAAGGAATGGTGAATAATCTAACTATAAAGCCTCTTTTAAATTGTAAATGAGGTTAATTAGGTTACAGGTAATGATAAGACCAATGTTTCAAGGAAAGTCTATACTCTGACATTAGATTAGAGGCACTGATCATCTTTAATTCAATATTATTAGTTCTTAGCGTATTTGGACAATTAATGCAGTTTATATCTACTTGCATTTTATAAGAATCTGGGAATAAAAGATATCCTTTAAACCATAAAACTAAAATTGTAGCTTCACCAGGACTCAAAATTATCACAGTTGTTTGCCAAAAAGCAAGTCTTAATGTATAAAGTATCTGCCTCTGCAATAAGTGCTTCATATTTAGGTCTTCAGATCATACCTTTTAACTACAATGACGATGATAACAATGAGAATCACCACCACAACTGTCCCAGCGACCCCTCCTCCTGCTACGGCCGCCAAGTTTTCCCCCTCCACAACTGAAAAGATAGACAAAGAAATGAACTACAGATACTAATAAAATGCATATTTTCACCAAACAATTTTGAATACAATATTTTGTCTTAAAATCGTTTGTTACTATTCTATGCAAGACCCGTACAACCATTCAGTTTAATTGTTTGAATAAAAATATCACAACTACGAACGTTTGCATAGTTGGCTTAGATCCTCGTTCCATTCACCATTGTTGTTGCACATTAGAGATGCAGACCCAGACTTTGTATAACCGTCGTGACACGTGTACCCACAGGTTGATCCAGTCGCTAGACTACAACCGTGTGATATGATTCCATTTTCGAAAGAATTTTTACATTTTATAACTGAAAACAAAAGAAAAAGCATTGCTTTATTCAATTGTCTTAGTATCAAAATAAAAAATTAATGATTCTTATTAACAAGGTCTTCCAAATGAAGCTTATTTGGAGTGGGAAGAACATTATATGCTTGTGTCAAATGTCCAGATCTATTGAGAATACTAAATAAATATAGAAACCAGCAAAGCTGATTGATTAAGCATACAGAATCTGGCGTGTTCTTTGCAAATTATGCATTGAACAAGAAATGATGAGAAGCATTAGTCTTTGACCTCCGAAAATGACTTCAAAATCTGCAATTGTTTTCTCTTCTCAGTTTTCAAGTTTGACGTTTGTACTAGAAATGTCCTTCTAAGAATGCAGAACTGCATCACTCAAACTCGTACAGTCGAAATAAATAGCCTATTTTAATGGCCTTCAACTTTTTCCCTATATGCCGTGTCTAATTAATTAATCTTTGCAGAACATTAAAACTTTTGATCCTGATATTCTAGAATTTACATGCGTCTTTCCAAAGGTATTTTGAATATATGTAACAGAAATATACGTGATGGTTATTATTTTGAACTAAACCTTCAACTAAGTCACACCAAAAACTGCAGATCTATTTTTTTCTGAACCATCCTACATCTTTGTAGCAAATATTACAATATGAAATGTACTCAAGTTAAAAATGTTGATGAATGGACAGACACAGTAAACAGACAAACGGATCAATTGATTAGTATAGTTTTTACAGGATGCACCTCGATCCTAGACTCGGTATAAGAAAAGCTTTTCAATTTAAAAGTACCTGTACATAAATTGTTAGTCTGGTTCCACTGTCCTGTAGACCCACAAAGAAGCCGAGTGCTGCCTGGCAAACCTGTATGATAACCCTCATCACAGGTAAATTGACACATGTCCCCAGCAAATCGTCTACATGTAGCTGGAATTCTCCCGTGGTTAATCGTGGAAGGGCATTGTACATCTATATTTTAAAAGAATAAACAAATTAAAAAAAACATCCATATTCTTATAATAAATGCCACGTGAATTGAGAATTGGTTTTAAGTATTTAACGAATTTCAAAGAATTAAATACCAGTACAGTGTATCTCTTTCCTATAGATTTACTTACCACCTGGGCACAGGTCATTTGAACCTACTTGGACGCCATCTTCACATGCACATATCTTATTATTTTCACCTTTTGGCAAACAAAACTTGCTACACATACCGTTTTGGTTGGAACAAAGTTTATGTACTACAATGCAAAGCAATTCATTTATTCATATTTGAATTAGATTCCATCAAACATTTTGAGATTTGAAATCGTTGGGTGATTAAAAAATATAGTTTACTTCATCTTGTCCCGAATCCTATTAAATTTCCACATTAAATCAAACGTTTATTATAGATTTTTTTCGTACTTACAAATCTGGTCACTTCCTTTGTAAATTGTTAAATGCAACAGTTTCCCGAACAGAGGAGACGAAACAACTACAGACGGATTAGAGCCCGATATTTTAGAAATCTTCCTTATAGATCTGTCCAAAAGGAGAGAGAAGATGTAATAATCTTTTGGTCAGTAAGTAATTAGTTACTGTAAATCACTTTTTATTCGCAAAAACTTTAGGAAAGAGAAGAAACATGATAAAAGTCGATTATATAAAGGAAAAACAACAGTTTGTGAAAATCATGTTTTGCTAATAAAGAGTCAATAACTATCTCGCGAAAATAAGGTGTCGCGAAAATTTAGTGATCTACGGTATAATCAATTACATTTTGCATTTCCCACCTTCTATCTCTTGCAATATAGTAGATAAATTCTCCTAGAACCGCCACAGACACGGGGTATTCTCCCCTGTTAATCACTACTATTCGTGGAGTAAGTGTTTTCATGTTGATAATTTCAATCTTGTCCAGGGTATCGTCACACCATACAATACTTCCATCTATAACAAAACTGAAATTTTTTATGGCGTCTGTACATTTTTTATAATACATATATGGCATCAAAACAACTCAACTGTATTTCTACTTAATATCATTAAAACAACAAACTTAAGCAAACCTTTATCATCGATAGTCAAATCCATAGGGGTAATAATCGGATGGGATAAGTTCGATATGATTGTTTCCATATTTGTGCCATCCATATAAGACCTGGCAATTCGGGGGTTTGGTCGACCTTCAATCCATACCATTATTCTAAAATGAAAGAAATTAATCGAAATTATGACTGATTAATGTACCATAAAGAGTTTTACTATAAAGTAAATATAATTTCTTATCATGTACCCGAAGAAAATCTTTAGCTATGTGTCCATTAAATATTACCCTCGTCTGGAATCTACTTGTAAGGAACCGATATTTCCACGACTTAAAAGCTTGCGAAACACATTTCCAGAACTAGAAGTTACGAAAATATCTTCACTCGAAGTGTAAAATATATTTCCAGTCGAATCGTCAACACTTAATCCTCGAACATCCATGACACCACCTAATAATTAATAGGTTTTAGAGAATAAAAGACCAGTAAAATATTGTTATGAAGAATTTTAAAACTTAAAGAGTAATCATATTAAAATATACATGTACCTTTTACAGCTTTTTCAATGGTTCCATCAAAAGAACTTTTTCGTATGGTATTTTTAGATTTGTCCCACCAGACGATTTCTCCTCTGATGTCGTCATAGTCCAGAACATGAGGACTCCCAGGCAAAATGTTAATCGTATGTATATCTTGATTATTTTGATCTATTTGGTAGATCATGTTCAGTTGAATATCCGTGGTCAACAAGAAATTATTTTCAACTGGAGCTGAGAAAGGAGAGAAAAAGTCTTTTTGATTTATAAAAAAAAAATTGAATCAATTTCAATCTTCCTGGGGTTAAGTTTATTTTACCTTAATATATTCAATAATATTCACACCGAGTTTAATATCGTTATTTACCAGAGAGACAGGACTTTCCGTCAGGCTGAAGAGTATATCCCACACGACAAACACATTGACTAGTGTCTCCTTCTACAATACATAGGTGTTGGCAACCATCGTTGTCCACAATACAAGGTTCTAATGAATAGATAAAAAGGACATTTTTAGAATCCAATGACCGCAGTAAGTGTTTTGGAGAAAATATGCATCTTTTTTACCTATACCGTATTTTTATACTGTTAGTTACTTTAGTATAAGATCTGTCAATTTATTGAATTATGATTTATTACAAACATTCCCTTTACCTTTTACAGATGGTTGTAAAGCTTTATCAAATATACGCATATCACTTGTTTTAGAAACTCCTAGTGATAGGGGCATTGTGATATCAATGGGTGAGCTTAGGACTGTGCTTTCCTGAACGTTCAAGTAATGCTTTGTCTGATCCATAGACAACCATAGCAGATAATCCTGTAATTACAAAATATATTCAATGAAACACATGGAGACAACGAACATTATTCAAAATCAAAAGTCCATAAAACAATACACAATAGGAGAAGATCAAAAACGGACCTCCAAAGCATTGGAGGTGGGATCAGGTGCCATGGAGGAGTGAGCATCCCCTACCGACCGGTCACACCCACCGTGTGCTCCTTGTCATGATCGGGAAATAACAGAAAAATCCGTCGTCAATTCAGTATATAATATTGGACTAACAATACCTATGAAAAACGTCAGTCAGCATTTGACTCAATGAAAAATTGTATTTGCTGACAAGGTCTTTGTATCGACCATAAAACTTACGAAATGATGACTTTAAACGAGACAGCAGAAATTCTTGTTTCATCAACTTGTTTGTCAATAAGTTACATCGTTTTAGGAATTTGTCATACGTAGAGGATACTCTTGCATATCGAATCAACTGATATATACATATATAACTTCGTCTGCAGGTGATGAAGGTATATTGCGGCATAGGTAAGGGCAGTTGACGATAGAAAAGTTAAAGTCATCATATTTATCATAGAACTTGGTTGTTAGATTACCATTAATGCGCGTCTTTTTCAAGTAAAATATCCAAATATGAAACAGATGTGTTAGACTCTGTGGTATCTTTTATCTCAAGTTCTTTAAGATATATCATATCGACATAAGAATGGAAATTACATTGTTAATTGACAAAACATCGTCGATATATCTAAATGTCGAGTTGAAGGCCACAGCAAGTGTTTTCTTCTTTTCACGCATAAGATTTTGCACAAATTCTGCTTCATATGAATACAAAAATAGGTCTGCTAATAATGGGGCTCAATTGGTACCCAAGGGGATTCCAGTAGGTTGTTGGAAGACCTGGTCTCAAAAAACCTCATAGATATTGTCAACCATAAACTCAAGCATCTTTTTGATGTCAACTTCGGATATATAATATATACTTCAAAGTACTTGTGTGTACAATCAGAATATGTTTTTAACAAAAATAATTTTGCAAATGACCAATGACAAGGTAAGTAAATTTACGAGTTCCATCTTTATTGAAAAGGCAGCTGTCAATGATATCAAAAAGCCTGGACTTTAATTTATCGTGGGGAATGGTTGTGTACAAAGTTGAAAAGTCGTAAGTTTTTAAGCTGTTGATTTTGGTGAAATCAAATAATTATATTTCTTGATTAGATTAATAAATTGTGGTTTATAACAAGGTTTTTACACCTCTCTGAGATTCATGACCTATCTATTTATTTATTCATTTTAAGATAGTGTTTGTAGAGCAACATTATTGATTTTATTTTATAAAAAAAATTCTTCCGTGTATGAAAAGTACGCAAGTTTCCAGAGAAACAGATATACTACTTTTTGTGCCCATTGTTTTCAAAATATCTCTTTTTCTGAAGGAAAAAAAATATAATTTCCTTAATTAATACATTATTAATAAAGTAAGTAATAAACTTCCCGAGAAAATTGATTTTTACAATATAAAAATAAAATAAGTTTCATCACTAAAAATTGGGATTTTAATATCTTGTCCTTTGATAGAAATGTTACTCTTGAAAAGGTGATTAGTGCTTTTAACCCTTGTGATATCAAAACAAAATAGAGATTTGGTCTTACCATGTTCCCTAGTGTTACTTAAATCCTGCTTATCTTTTTTAGTAATACCTTGTACACCGTTATTCCTGAGTAGGTTACTCCTTGAGGAAGCTGCTTAAAGTTTGTGTTGCTTCCATCTGATTTTAATGAGCCCAGTGAGGGTCTTCCACTGTCACTCCAGAATACTCTACAAATCCAAAGTTTTTTTTTCTCAATTATCCATTTCACGGGGAACTTTATACATAAAATTAATTACACGTTCTATTTAAAATTTCAATCTTTATGTAAAAGTAATGTGATGCGATCAAAAGAACGTCAAATTCATGCATACACAAGCTAATATACTGCTTCATCTTTGCTATTCTAGTGTGTAAAGAAATTGAATTCACAAGACGATCTAAAAATGTGAAAGAAAGAAATATGTAAAAACATGAAGTAGTGGATGTTATGAAATTGCATTGCTATGCTATTTCATTCTACTTACATGTCCTTTCGGCGATTGTAAATCAAATGGTCTGGTGATACGACACCAATGCTTTCTAATACCTGAACGCTTCTATCTTCTAAATTAATAACCTTTATTGAACTTTGTGTGGATGCATCAATATAAAATATCCTCCTGAAAAATACATGATACTTTTAATTTTTGCCAACATGAATTCTACTTATTCATTTGCTGTAAGAATATACATGTAGATATAGATTTCATAAGCAACAATCTACACTGTTATTCTTAAACAACATATGTTGACCTTTTAAACGGATCCACTCTTAATGCTTTAGGAATCCCCATATTTGGTGCAGATATCTCTAGTGTGTTACTGTCTCTTTCTGTTGATACATTCCATGCATAAATCTTGGTTACTGTATCCTCACTCCAATATAACGTGTCAGTGACCCAGTCGTAATCTAACCCTGCAAAAGGATTACGTTTGGTATTATTAGGAATTAATAATATGTATCATCATCAACAATGAATGAAATTATATACCACACCCCAAAAATCAGTGAGGATTAAATTTTCTCGCAATTTTAATATAGGAATCTTAAGCAATTAAAATTAATAGTTAAAATTTATTTTACTTTGCTGCAGTATATAATAAGTACCCTCATCGAATTACGAATTCTGCAATACGTACCATGAGAAAAAATTATCATATTACCTAAGATTCGGTTTTGAGTTGAAAAATTGGAAGCATTAGAAGTTTCAAATAATTTTTGTCTGTAAATGGTATTCTCTTTTGCAAGAAATATTTCATTGGATTGTATTGAAGCTGCAAAGTATGAAACATCAGCAGGTGTTGATGCTATAATATCGCAATTCATTGGAGAAGGGACATATTTGAAGGAATTGATGGCGGTGATGGTGATATGACAGATTTTAGGTCCAGCTGCCACCAAAATGCTCCTTTTTAATTGTTTGTTTGTCTCTGTAAAAATAGAATGGTCATTTTGTAAAATGATGATTTAAGTGTATTATAATTATAATAACATTAGGCTATAACTTAGAAGAAGAAACTGTTTGCTGAAATGCACCAAAAAGATTCAGATTAGCTTTACCTACAATTACACATAAGTAAAGTTCGCCATGGCTGGTCGGTCAAAATATGCAAAATGTTATGTATAAAATTAAGTATTAAAAAACATCAACAAGGTGAATCTGATCTTACCTTTACACGTTTTATTGTCGTCTGATAAAGAAAAGCCATCCTCACAAAGACATCTAGCCCCAGACAACTCCGTGATACAGATCTGGTTACAGCCGAAAGTGTCACATGCTGTAAACAGAAAAATTCATATTGTTCTGTATTCCTAGGTGACATTTTTGCTCATAACTAGGTTTAGAGTATCATATTCTTTAAATCACCCTTTTGACCCGATTAATACACATGTACTTCTAATCTCAAATAAAGATCTGTGATGTTTCACAATTTTAGGTCAAAAATTAAAATAATAAATCTTTGAATGTTTAAGGTACTCGTTTGCTTTATATGTGAAAGATATGGAGTTAATGAACAGTATTGAAGTTCAAAGGCCATTTTAATACATATCATGTTTCATGAAAAAGAGTTTGTAATTGATAATTATTGTTCCTTCTTTGGTGAATAACATACATTTTAAACATTCATATTACAAATTTCTTTGAAAGAGAGGGCTAATTTTCAGTTTGTTTTATCCTTTTCTTCATATTCTTTCCTTTATTAAAAGTATCAGTAATTACCTGTTGAACTCTGTGGTTGATTGGCTTCAGCAAACAAACCTAAAGAAAATGGAGTAGACTCCACTGTCACCGGACGTGTTACTCTGTGTCCTGTCGAGTTAGAGAGGACCAGAATGCGATCTGTTGACTGGTCCGAGACGAAAACTAAATTCTACAAAGATAAAATAAGCTTGAAAATTATCAACATCCTCTACACTTAATTACTGATTTAAACTGTATCTGAATATTTCAGCACATACCTATAGATATGACTATAATATAAAATTAATGAAAAGTAGGCTTTGGCAATGATAATGATGAATAAATGTATGTTTAGTACTTTTTTTTTATCTAGTATCATATAAAAATCTTAAACATTTATTGCATTTTGAGAAGGACGAATAAAGTGTCAAACTATCGAATGTTGTAAGATTGTTAAGTATTTCAACACTTTAACACCAATAAACGTGGTATTTCGGAGGGCAGATAATATATTACACTATATTTTTACGCGTTTCATAACAATAATCTTTCTACACATTAATACTTCTTGCATCCAATACAGGTAGTAAGATTATTTTCATTCTGTATTTTATGACAGTGCGTTGTGCTCATAAACGGTTGAAACCAATACATTCATTAGAAATAGATTTACTGCAGTACACATTCAATGCAAATAAAATATTTTATTGCAAAAGTGCTCAAAAGTTTGTTTTTGTAATCCAATCTTAAAAACTGGTAATATTTCAAAAATATATTTTATGGAATTTGAAAAAAATATTTATATGAAAATTAGAATTGACCTTAAAAGTTTCCACGCCGTAGAAGTAGGAGTTTGTCTCGTAAAAAAGAATACGCCTCGAGTTTCCCTCTAGGTCACATGACTCTACAGTTTCCCGCGCAGAGTCTGTGAAGTATAGCAGGTTGTTGTGTATGTCCACAGTCACAGACTCAGGCTTAATGATCCCGGACCAAACGAGGATTCTCCTGTCAGAACCGTCAGAGGAAGAACGCTCTATTTTTGGTTGTGTCCCAATGTCTGTCCAAAATAGTAATCTGTACAAGAATATATCGAAATTAATTTTGAAAATTAGGCAAAAAAAAAAAAAAAAAAAAAATATCAAACAAACAAAGAAACAAACAAACATTGTTTTAAATTGTTTTTTAATATTTTGTTTTTTTTTCAATATACATCAAACAAGATATGAAACATAACATTACTTAGTTAAAGCATCATTTAATTGCTAAAACATAGAGTATTCATACAAAGATCCTTATATAAGTTTATGTACGCTTTAGATTAAACTGTTGTTGTTTTTTTTTTTTTATTTTCTTGACCAGAGTGTGTGATGCTAATTTTTTATCACTTTACCTTTTACCGGCATGCACGGCAAGACCGGAAGGAACGTCCAGGAACTTATCCACCACAACCCTGAATTTCGTGTTAAATGCTGCTGATCCCAAGTTTTTGGGAAGAGCTTGAAGTCCTATCCAGCCAAACAAACTATCTGACCAGTAGACATTGGAACTGACCCAGTCCACAGCGACGTGTCCAACACCAGAGGAGGTGCCGACGTGGACAAAGGCCCCCTGAGCGGCTCCATTACTTAACTCGCCTAGAAGTGTTATGGTATTGGCGTTATTGTCACTGAAGATGATAAATCCCCTTTCAAAATCGTAAGAACATCCTAGATGTTTGTGTTTTGTATCCCCGTAACTGAAGCTATATATATTTGGGTTTGTATTGTTAAGGACCCATTGTTCGGTATTGTTCTGGTAAAATATCCAATTTGTCTTTGCTGTCCAGAATAAGTATGGGATATCTGGGAAAAACGCTACAATAAAAATATAAATATTTTACACAAGACATAATGAATTGAGACAGGGGCTTTTTAATCCCTATTAAATTAAGGTTTTCAGAATATTACCAGAGTAATTAGATTTTCAAGACTTCATCCTTCTGAAACAAATTATTTACAAAATTGACGATATAAATTGACGATATAAATTTTACAACACCAAACCAACGTTTTTTAGAATTTCATATTACATGAAGGTACATTGTATACGAACCAGGTTTAGAAACTGCGTGAGCAAAAATGAACACTAAATAAATAAATCCATGGCTGAGCTTGTTTTCCTTCATTTCCACTCTATGGTTTTGAACAAATCAACAATGCGGTGTCTTTAATATCCTCAGTCTATGACTATTTTTACTTCCTGAATTTCAAGCAACATTTTTATACGGTTAACTGGACGTAGTTTATGTCCATATGTGTATCTGTACTTTTAAAATCTAAATGATTACTCACTGAGTAACAAACAAAGGTAATGAGCAGAGTCTTATAATGTTTGTGATTTTTTTTTTCAGAGCACCTGTGCATTATTCACTCAAAGTCTTCAAAAACTAACAAAGAATCGACAACCTATCAATACAAATTTGATCCAGTTTCATTGTCAATTTAAACTCTATGTTCAATGTGTTTTTTAAAACTTCTTTTTCGTGATTTCGGCTGGCTTGTCGGGTACGCTTGCCTTAACGAAGCCCCACATGCTTTTCATCCTATGTAACTCTATCGTACAAAATATATTTCCCCCTTCCCATGTGTCTTTCTATACAGTTCTTTATCATTTTATTTATTTGCAGAAATCAATGAACATGAAGTAAATGTTTTCATAGTACAGATACATGTATATAGAGTAAACTTACAACTTGAGGTAACAATTGTAACAAATAGCTCATTTTATTGCTAGTTTTTATTTTTTTACTCGCAAGATCTTTTGTAAATCGTTCGCTGAACTTTAATTATTGTGGGAAATAGGTTGTATTAAGTGTTGAAAGGTCCTATCTATTTGTGCTATTGATTTTAATAAAGTTTTCTTCAAGAGTTTCAAGTATCCACAACTAAACCACTCCTAGAATATCTTTAGGAATCCAGTATAATTCAGTAAATAATGATAATTTAAATTTGATTTGTTTTGCTGTGAATATGAAAAACTTGCTAGTATTCAAAACTGCCATATAATTTTGAAGAATATCTTCCTCAGAAAAGATAATAAAGATGGATTTACATTTAAAAAATTAAATCCAAGCTCCTCTAAAATACTACTGAAATAATGAGTTTTACAAACAAAAACAATGTTGTCACCTGCTTTGTCAAGGGGGACCCGTAAATACTGACCTAATTTTCTAATTTATATGAAGCAGAATTTGTCCAAAATCTTCTACGTGAAAAGAAGAAAAAACCTGCTATGGCTGCCTTCAACTCGACATTTAAATATATCGACGACGAATATCAATTAACAATAGTTATTTCCATTCACACGTCGAAACGACATATCTCGGTAAGCTTGAGATAAAAGATACCACAGAGTTTTGCACATCTGTTTCATATTTGGATATTTTACTTGAAAAAGACGTTAATAGTAATCTAACAACAAAGCTCTATTATAAACGTGATGACTTTAATTTTTCTATCGTCAACTTCCCTTACTTATGCAGCAATATACCTTCATCACCCGCATACGGAGTTTATATATCTCAGTTGTTTCAATACGCAAGAGCATACTATACACATGTGAACAATTTCTAAAACGAAGTAAATTAGTGACAAATAAGTTGATGAAACAGGTATATCAGCAGTCTCATTTAAAGTCATCTTTTGGATGTTATTACGTCATCCATTAGGAATGGAAATCACCATTGTTAATTGACAATACGTCGTCGATATATCTAAATGTCCAGTTGAAGGCCACGACAAGTGTTTTCTTCTTTACACGCATAAGATTTTGCACAAACTCTGCTTCATATGAATATAAGAAATAGGTCTGCTAAGTCTTACGCAATTTGATTTATTCTAATAAATATACAAACACTTTCTTAACATAAGTTAAAAATCCTTTTGCCTCACATAAATTTAACAAACTCCGGTGTCGGAGATGGTATACTAGTATTTAGACTGCGAGATTACTTTAAAATTTTATAAGATGAAATGGACGAGAAGACTTAGTCTCATGTTTCTAAAATAATTTTAATTCTAAAAAAATAATTTTAAATACAGATCATTTAAGAATTATCTAAAATTAATTTTGTGTGTGTGTTTTAATAGTGAAATAATCAGGCTTGGGGCAAATTACATTGAAAGTAATGCATTACCATTACCATTACTTCAACAATTTGGGCATTAAATTACCATTACCATTACTCTATTTTCTTAAAGTAATGCATTACATTACCATTACTTTAGTAAAGTAATGCATTACCATTACTATTACTTTTGGAGGTTTTTAAAAACAGAATTTTATACAAAACTTTGCGATGTGTTTTTCAAATGCATGTATCCACCCCTTTCAAAACTAAACATGATAATTAAAATTTGATTTCAAGTTTTTGTATATATTACAATGTCATTAACTTACAATCAAAGAAAGTTCAAAGTTCTGAATTGTCAGTTTTGTAACACATATACAATATCCACTTTTTATGTAACTATTGAAGTCATGAAGTAATTTAACTTTTGGGGCACTTTAACCCCTGCCTAAAATATCTAATAATAAAGCATATAGGCTTTTTTGATTAGTACCGTATGAAAAAAATAAATGCATTGACAAACTTTTTGAAAAAGTAGACAGAATGTACATTTTGATCTGCTAAGCACAGTAAAGCATAGAATGCCTGCATGGCTTCTATTTTTTTTGGTACAGTGGAATTTTTTCATGGTCAGTACAAGGTAAATCAGCTCAATTAATGTTTTATAAACACAGTCAGGAGAAAAGGACTGGTAATTTGGAGCACTTCTCCAAACATTACATTGGTTTAATTGTTACATAACCCAGAGGCCTAGTGTGTTTTGGTGACACTCTACTATTCAAAAGGTAGCAATTATCAGTTTACAGTGTACGTTTATTAGTGTATCTCATATGCGATAAAAAAAAAAATCTTTTAAAACTATTTTACATAATTCTTTGAAATCAATTCTTATCTGGAATAAGTTTGTAAACTTAAATGTAAGGTAGGTGTACTTTCAACAGCTAGAACAAAAAGTGTATTTACATGTAAATAGATACACTCCTGCTAATCGATCAATTGCACAACCAGCAGTTGTGTATAACAATCAAAAGAGATCGATTTCCGGTTGTGCATTTGATGCAAATAATTCCAGTACACAGGTTGTAAAAAGACCCGATTCAGGCAATAATTGATATTTTTATTAAAATATAAGAATGTGATTCCATGAGCAATTTATTTTTCTTTAATTTTACACTCTCATAAAATGCAGTGATTGTCGATTAGCGACTATATTTATTTCGAAGTAAGGGCTGGTAGAGCGAAAACGCTGATTGAAAATAGTATTCGACGACTTAAATTGACTCAAATAATTATTTACATGTACGAAGGCTGTTCAATAAATAATGTCATTAACTCGATGACATACAACATAGAAATCATATGACATTAAGCTTGACTTTCTCTCATTATTGAATCTTTAATGAATTGATAACAGTTTATGTAACCACTTTTCATCACAAAGTTTCATTGTGGGAAGCTGGAAATCAAGGGCTATTCTAGACAATGTATTAAAAATGAATGGTAAAGAATCAGTAAACCATAAGAGTGAAATTAAACCCTTCATTAAAGCTGCTGTAAAACTTCTAAAGAATTCCAAAGTGATATTTACTGAAATATGTGAAATTTACAGCAACCAGCTGTTTTATACACACATTAGCAAGTGGATTTTAATGAACAAAAATGATAAACTAGGCATCAAAAATGGGTACCGTCCTTGGCTACAAGGATTTACAGCAAGCAATGTACTGTTTGCGAAAATTTATGGGGTAGTTCACAATGTTTTAAAGAAACATTTAACAGTAAAAAAGTTTAATGCTCAAAGGTCACTCTATGTTGTGAAAAAATAGGAAAAACAACAGCATGTAACAATATCTAAACAATTATTTTTAAAAATCAAAAAATTGTATTTCTCCACATTTGTCTGAAATTCAAACAGATAATGAAACTTGAATCAATTGCTTTCAATCCTCAAAACAAATTAACATTAAAAAGATGCACTTGAAAAAACAGCAAAAACCTGAGAAGAACAAAGAATTGCAATAGCACAAAAACAGGTTTAAATGCTTCTTAAATATTAGTGGTCTTGTTCAAATTCTTATTCTGGGAGGCAGATCATTTTCTGAAGGAGTCTAGAAAGCAAAATTTTGGCAAAAAAATCGAAAGGTTTATTAGAAGAAGGAACCAGAATCGGGAATCCACTACATTGAATTTCTTCATGACAGCGTCCAAACCCAAAGGCCATGAAGAGTAAGGAGTTTTGGGGTGAAACAGAACGTTAATGCTTTGTCACTTCAACAATATTCATTAGATCTTTCAACCTTTGACTTGTTTTATTTTCCAAACTTGAAAAATCACCTTTCAGAGAAAAAAAAGTACAGGAAATCATAGGATCTGCCATATTCCAGTATACAAAGGGCCATACTCAAAATGTGTTCTAAAAAAAAATAAAAATTAAATAAAAATGTTACGGACATGTATTTTAATTAAAAGAGAATATTTAATTGAAACCATCAAGAATAAATCGTTGAAAAACATTTGATGTTTCTTTCTGAGCATCGATGACATTATTTATTGAACAGCCCTCGTATTTATTGATTATATACCCCGTATGACATTTCTGTACATATATTAATTTTTTCTCATTTTTCCTTCTTGTTCTTGCTGGTACTTAGACATCTCACACATTTTTTTCATCATTTCCCCCCTTTCTTTATTTCTTTCTATTTTTTTATACATATTTTGTACGCATCCTTTTCCCTCTAAATGGTTAACTTTCCTTGTTTGTATATCTCCTATATATTCTATTTTTTTTCTACAAGAACATCCACTCTATGTCTACCTATCATCTCGCATTATTTCTTTATTTTTGAAATTGTTTTAAAAAATACTTTTAGCCTTTTTTTAAATTTGTTATTGAATTGAATTGTGTTAAATGTACAACGAAATTGTCACGTCACCCCCTCCCCCTTTAGCAAAAACTTGTTACGTAAAATGAATTGCTCATCTTGTTTTTTTTTTCTCTCTTTCTCACTTCCGTGATATTGTCCGTTATTTTGTCTCTATCTCCTTTCATGATTGGTTCAAACATATGTTCTTGTTATCAATGCATATATTTTCTTTTACCATGTTCTTTTGTTCCAAGAATTCTTACTGACTCTTCATTTGTTTATCCCATTTAAATTTTCTTACAGGAACTTTAATATTTGAGAGTGCTGTAAAGTTTATTTCTGGCATATTTTTTCTTTTGGCATAATCTTTTCTTTGCCAAATTATTATTAACAAAAGAATATATTTATGTTAGAATACAAAGT